GGTTGAGCTATAGGCGCCGAGCCAATTTTGTAATTTTTAAAGACTTATATGAAGCCAAGACTTTTAGTATCCCAGATAAACCTCAATCCCTGAGCAAGTTCCAATAAAATTAGATATCCTTAGTTACTCTTATTTTAATAATTGTTTCAAATGCAGGATAGTAAGAGCACAGATGACATATTTTAGCAGACCTAAAAGAACAGCATGAACATTTTCAAGTTCATCTTTTAGGATATAGAATTTGGGATTCTACGAAAGAGGACCTGAATTTGATAAGCTAAGAAATAACTTTTTGTATGGTTCAGACTTTTCATCTATAAAATGAGGATAACAAAAAAACCCAAAACACACTTGCATGCTTAGAGTAACGATTATATACAAAAAGATGGGGAAGCACTATATGAATACAAAGGTCAAATAAATAATGATGCTTTTATTGTTTCAGTCACCTTGCTCATCATTATAAAATGGAAAGGGGAGATATCTAAAAACGTTATCTACAAAGATATTCTAATGCTGCATTAAACTTTTACTTTTACCAGTCTAAGATAACAATCTTACATTACTGGAATCATCCAGATATTTGTTCTCATCTCTTATTATATGTTGTTATAACCTTGCCTTTCTACACTACCTTGTTGTCATGAAACTATCCTAGTCCAAAAGAGCTTGTAACAAAAGCCAAAATAATATTAATTAGCTATCCAGGATTTCTATATCTTATCTACTATTTTACTGTAGAACTAGAAAACTGGAATCTAAGAAACAGACAATATTTTTCCAAGAATTATAATCATCTGTTAATGTTTATAAAATGATCTCTCTGAAGTCTAAATTGAGAGTATGCCCATCTCTATTATCAATTCATTGCATCCCTTCCATATTCATATTTTCTCTATGAACAGAAGGGTTTACACCAATAATAACTCAAAAGAGTTCTCCACAACTTTCACAATTTAACCGTCCCTACGATGGAGAAAAAGAGGGAGGCAGATTTCATTTACTAAAGCTTGTGGCAGTCAATATTAACCTTATGAAAAGCAATTAAGCTTTCTGCATCTTGGAGATTAGATTTATGTCAAAAAAGGATGTTAGTTTTACCTCAATATCAATCACTTTATAGATGAGGAAACTGAGGCCCAGAGACTTTGGTAAACCAAGGTCCGGGCCTCAGCATGGGGAACCTGCACCCTTAAGGCCATACGTGGCCTTCTAGATCCTTAAGTGCAGCCTTTTGACTGAATCCAAATTTTAAGAACAAATGCTTTTATTGATAGGGGTGTAGCAGAGAAATATGAAGCTTTTCTTGCTTCCTTTGGTGTTTAAAAAAGAACAACCTTGAAATCAGAAAGCTGCAGGTTCTCTCCCCTTCAGGCTCTTTCTCTCTTCCATCTTTAAAACAGGAAGTTAAGAAAAACAGTCCTTCTACTGCTAGATCCACTAGCAAAATGGGCATCTCATGCAAATGAACAATAGAATTTCAAAATGAGACTACTTAAATAAAGTATGCCACTTGTTCATTTCAGAGAACTTGAAGGCTCAAAATTTAAGCAGCAGCATATTAGGTTGAGTGCCAGCTAAATCTTAAAGCATGCCACACTTAACGTCTTTCTTCATGCATATGCAACCCTCTCCTTCCATCAAGAGGTAGAATCTATTCTTCTCCCTATGAATTTGGGCTGTCCTTGGGACTTATTTTATGATGGCTGCTGCTTCTGCTTTCACATACTCTCAGGAAATCAGTGACCATGCTGCCTAGCAGCAGCTCAGGCTGCAGTCCTAAAGGGTGAGAGAAGGTGGAGAGACGGTCCATGCAAAGGAGAAAGAACTAAACTGACAGAACTGGGAGGGAAGCTTGGTTGGACCTTCTACAAAACTCCAACCACCTGCTGAATACAGCTGAATGAGTGAACCCAGCTAATATTACAGGAAATAAAAGAACCTTGTAGCTGGGCTCTGGCCACAATCCTCATTCACAAATCTTAACAAATAATAAATCATTGTTGTTTTTTAAGCTAATGATTTGGGGGTTGCTTATATAGCTATAAATATCTGAAATAAGGTGTGAGGGCAGAAGCACGAATTCTAAGTCTGGGGTTTTAGCTCCAGTACATTTTGTAACTGCCAAGGGAAAAAAGGGAGAAAAACAGGATCTGCAAGTGTAGAATAAGGATGAGGAAAAACCATGAAGGGCAAAAATTCATACACTTTATAGATAGGGATGGAGCAAGATTAAAAAAAAAAAAAAGACCAACTGTGATAGGTAAATCTCCCATTATAGAAATGCAAAGACAGAGAGATTAAAAGTTTCTGACCTCAAGCACGTTAACTAGTCGAGCTTTAAAAGGAAAAATAAGGTATACATATACAGAGACAGCAGGATTGTGTGGGCTGCGGCCAGAGAAGGTTCACTGATACACATAATGTGATAAGCAAGATACTGGTTTCAAAACTACTGGATATAGGAGTTAAAAGACTTGGGTTCTGCTCCTCATTAGTCACGTAATGTTAAGTAACTAATATGCCTGTTTGGGCTTTCACCCCCTACTTCCCATATAGCTATAAAATATTTTGCTATGCTATGTGTAGAACCAGACTGACTAGCTGGTTAACTCTGACAAGTCACCGATCTACTATCTGAGTCACCATTTGCTTTCGATAAATGATTGGTTATAAAGAATGGCCCATGAAACAGACCCTGAAGTGGCCCTTGTACTAAAAATATGACTAAGATTAATGTTCAGGGAAAAGAAAGTTTTTGTTATGTCAGAAAAAAAGCATATGCTAAAATTTAAAAGTAGGAATTCCTTTATATTCATTAGATTTTTTTTTTTTAAAGTACATAGGGCATTGTACAGTTATTAGGTTGAGTAAAAAGCCTGTCCTTCAGGAAGTTTACATTTTATGAGTTACAAGGCTACCCAGATTATCTATAATAGCATGCAAATCATAAGTATAATTCATAATAAATATATAAAGTATTGCGGGAATTCAAAGAAAGATGAACCTACATGGCATTAAGAATAGCTTTTGGAGGGGCCAGAAGCAGCAGCTGATGCCTATAATCCTAGCACTCTGGGAGACCAAAGTGGGTGGACTGATTGAGGTCAGGAGTTCAAGTCCAGCCTGAGTAAAATGAGACTTTATCTCTACTAAAAATAGAAAAACTAGCCAGGCGCTGTGGCAGGTGCTTGTAGTCCCAGTTATTAAGGAGGCTGAGACAAGAGGATCTCTTGAACCCAAGAGTTTGAGGTTGCTATAAGCTGTGACACCATAGCACTCTACCAGGGTGACTGAGTGAGACTCTGTTTGAGAAAAAAAAAAAAAAAAAGAACAACTCTTGGAGGATAGGTTGCATTTTGGCATATGTAAGTCGACATAAGATGCATTATTAAGAAGATGAATATTCTGGGTTAAAGAAATGGTAGCAGCAAAGTAGTCATTAAGACGAAAAAAAAATATTCAGGGAAAAAGAGTATTAGGGAGCAGCTTAAATAGTAGCAGAGAATTCAACCTTCTGAAAGGCCTAGAGTTGCCAGAGATCAGACTTCACTGTTAGGCAATGGTGAAACACTGTATACATTTAAATTTGTAAAAAGCAAGCAAGGTGAAACATTATTTTATAAAAATATAGCTGATTGTAATATTTAGAATGCATGAAAAAGATTTAAACATGAAGAAGAATAATGGGCTCGACACCGGTAGTGCAGTGGTTATGGCGCTGACCCCATACACCAGTGCTGGTTGGTTCAAATCCAGCCCGGGTCTGCTAAAACAACAATGACAACTACAACAAAAAAATAGCTGGGCGTTGTGGTGGGCACCTGTAGTCCCAGCTACGTGGGAGGCTGAGGCAAGAGAATTGCTTAAGCCCAAGAGTTTGAGGTTGCTGTGAGCTATGACACCATGGCACTCTACTGAGAGTGACATAGTGAGACTGTCTCAAAAAAAAAGAAGGAGAAGAATGAAGAGCTTTAATTATCCAAAGTATCATAAAGTAAAAACAAACAAACACAAAGACTGGATGAAAAGGGTCAAAGACGCCGATAAAGCGTGGTGACATCCTGCATACTGGCTGAGGGAGAAGTCAAAGCAGATACTTAGAAAGATCACTGTGAATGTGTAAAGTCAGGAAGGAGTTCACAAGGACAGAATGTCAGCACGTGTGAGAAGAAAGCAGCTTAGGATTTTTATTTGCTAACCATTTTCATAATCATCTCCATTATGTCATTCATAAATAAAACAGGTTTTGAATCTACGGTTGACCACCACAGACTAACATGAAAAGGTATTCCCTCAGTGGTTTTCAACCTTCCTAATGCTGCAATCCTTTCTTTAAGATAGTTCCTGATGTTGTGGTGACCCCAACTATAAAATTACTTTCGTTGCTACTTTATAACTGTATTTGCTACTGTTAGAAATCGTAATGTAAATATCTGATATGCAGGATGGTTCATCACCCCTGTGAAGGGTCGTTTGACCCCCAAAGGGGTCGCAACCGACAGGTTTAGAACCACTGCCTTACATACTTGTAGATACTGTTACCAGTAAGTGTATGGACAGCCCTTTCAGTGTGTCTCCAGAGAGAAGAGCATTTCTTAGCTTCTAAACTACTTTGTTAGCACTTCTCTGTCTACCAAAACCCCAAAAGTGTCTGAGTCTCATTTGCCAAGGTCTCTGCTAGATCCAAAATCATTCTCAAGAATTTATAATCACCACTGTCTACAAAATACAATAATACCTATGTTAATTGCTTTATAATTTAGTCTTTACTAGGAAAAGCAGATGCCATAGAGTTAATAATGCATAGAACATGATTTGCTTCCACTGGCTAACGGGATCTCAAACAGGCTGACCGAAAAACAGAAAAGATGTGAGGACTCTGGGGCAGTACATACATGGAGAAGGTGAGAAAGATGTCCTGTCCTCAGAGAACTTACCTGGGCAAACTTGTGAATCTGTTCTACCACTGCAGCGAACAGAGCGTGGACGCTTTCATCAATCAGACTCTGCATGTAATGCACGGCCTCTTCATCGGACAGGTCTAGACGGAATTTATCCTGAACCTACAGGATAAGAGTCTGTTAGTCCTAATGAAGAAAAGTAGGGACATGTTAAAACTATAATATAAACTAAAAAATAAATTCTCAGCTAGGCATGGTGGCTCACACCTGTAATTCTAGCACTTTGGGATGCTGAAGTGGGAGGATCACTTGAGGCGAGGAGTTCAAGACCAGCCTGAGCAACACATTGAGACCCTGCCTCCACAAAAAATA